CGAGCCAATTTTTTAAAATGTAAGGAGTAGAAAGTACAGATATTTGTGTAAAAATGTAAGGAGTAGAAGTAAAAAGTTGCCATAAAAATAAGTAGTAAAGTAAAGTAAAAATATCAGAAAAATCTACTTGAGTACAGTAATAAAGTATTTGTACTTCGTTACTTCCCATCTCTGGGAACCAGGGCAACTTGATGACAAATTGGCTACTGGAACAAGACATAGATGGACTAGAGCAGAAAAGTTGGTACTGATGAAATGCTACTATATCTCTCTCTCTCTCTCTCTCTCTATATCTATATATATATAGATATATATATATATATTTTTTTTTGTTATTTTGATTAGATTCAGATGTAACTAGGCATGATTTCATAAAAAAAAAGAGACAAAGTTTATATATTATGACTGAGGAGATGTTTACATGTGTGACTGATAAACATTGGAAAACAAACCCCCCAAAAAAATTAACCATGTCAGAAGAAAACCAAACAAACGCTTATAACATCTACGAGATGACTTTCAAATTTAAACTATATTAGCAATACTACTTGGGCTTCTGGATAGTAAAAAAAAAATAACACTTGTTTAACAAAAACTGCTTTGGGATAATACAAAAATAATGCTCTTTTGAATAAGAACATGTCCAGAAGCAGTTAATTATTATAACAGTAGTGTTAGTCTTTATCTCCTGTTAGGAGACAAACCTTTATTATATTACACTTTAAAAGAGGGTTAAAACTCACATGCAAGATTCAGCTGAAAAAAGAGAAGTTATGTTTTCTTAATTACAGAATCTCAAAACACACAGGAATTGATTGTAATGTTGGTAAGGTGCAAGTATGTTGAATATTTGTTGCAAAATGTAATTACAATGGTAAACATGCATCATTTTGAAGTTGTTCTTTTTTAATTTACTTTTTGTGGGAGTTAAAAAGGAAACAAACAGGCCTCTGGTTTTATTAAAAGCGATATCTCCATGGTTTTTTTAAATAAATGTTTTCTTTTTCAGGTTGATGTAAAAAAATATTGACAGCAAAGTTTTTTTGGTGAAATAATTATTTCATTTTTGTAAATAAAGTCAATGCCGTTTCTAATCAAAGATGGTTATTTGGGGGTTGAGTGAATGTATCATCATATCTTTAATTAGTAAAATCAGAGTGAGAGGAAGTGCCTTTAAGTCTTTCTTAAATTTAAATTTTTTGTACATATATTTTTTATATTATATTGACAAAAAATTTCTATCTGTTTCCATGAGGTGTAGAAAAGAAAACAATACCTTTCTTTATCCAGTGTTTGTTGAATTGTTTTGTTTTATCAGGTGGCAGCTGTTGTTCCAAATGGGGACAGAATGTGGTGAAAAGTTATGTTTTTAAAAAGAAGTTTCTAATAATTTAAAAAATCTGTTGATTTTGTAGTTAGTTTAGAAATTCCAATCACAGTTCATCAATAGTTTAACTCCACCAATAAATGTACAAATCCCATACGTATGGAAATAATACCAGACACATTCATAATTATAAACGAAGCTCTGTAGCCATTTTAGTTTGATGGTATCAAAATCTATATCAGTTCTCCTCATATGTTTGGATCTGTCTCTGCATATAAAATGAAAACTGCCTTTATTTATCAAGACTGAACATACGGACCCCTTCATCGCTATTCTCCTATTCTGCAACATTAGTTAGTTCTATCTCAAACGTTTTGCTCTTTCAGCTTTTTCTCATCATAATAGCTTCATCTGGTTTATCCCTGTTTGGCTGTTACACCATTCAGGAGAGAAATATCAGCTGTGCTGCTGCCATCATGCCCTGACCTATTTTTTAGTGTTTAGTCCTGTTTCTGTCCTAGACTAGCTGTGGGCTCAGCTTTTACTGTGACTATGGCTCTGTTCGAAAACCTAGGACGCATCCTTAGAACACCGGATT